TTCTCACACATCCTTCCATAATCCCACGATCTCACCTTCTTCCCTCTTTTCTTTTTTATTTTATTTTTCTCTCTATTTTTTTTATTTATTATTTTTTTATCACTTATTTTTATTTACACTATATACCGTGGTAAAATTATTCACACCGTACCCTGCTCGTATCACATATTATCTTAACTGAATAAAAGTCATTGGATTGACTAATTACTAAAATTATTGCACTAATGCACTACCTGAGTTTATGTGGTCCAGAAGGTAGAGGAAAGAGACCCATCGGTCACTATTAATTCTTAGAGCTCTGCTACAGAGCCCGAAAGGGTTTCGAGCTAAATTTGGCTCGAATTTGAGAAGAAGGAGGAAGAAGAAGAAGGGAAGGAGGGGAGTGAAACAAATTCCAAATTATAGGGACTATTAGTATAATTCACCCAAAATTAAAAAACATAATTGAAGTTGCTCTAAGGCTTACTTTGGAAAGTACTGAATAAAATTATTATTTTTATTTATTACAAAAAAATATATAAAATAAATAGATGATAAAACCTAAATAAATTAATCAATTGACTTATAAATCACTTCTCAAAAGAGACCTAAATATATAAAATCAACGAGACACACAACACACACACAAAAAAAATTCAATCATATGCAAACTTGGGAAAATGTTTGAAGGCCCGAAATGCCTGGCAAAAAAAAACGGAATGCCCAAAACGACGTCGTTTTGGGCATTCGGGGCATTCGAGCCAGGCATTTCGGGCCCTCAAACATTTTCCTAATTCTTATTTTTAAAATCTTAAAATTGTAGAGATAAAGGGTAAATAAAATGACACTACAAAAAATTAATGTTTTAGAAACCAAAATTTAGAAATAAATTTATTTTTAGGAACCAAATAATTTTGTTGTGAAATGTGTCGTTATTATATTTTTAGCAACAAAAATTGGACATTAGTGATGAATTATTATCCTTTTGGTACTAAATTTTTTGTTTTAAAAAATAAACTATTTTAAGACTAAATTATTTTGTCCTTAAAAGTTTATTTATTAGTGACATTTTCAAAATTTTGTTGCTAAATGTCTTTTTTTAACTTTTCGGGACAATTTTTTAGCGACTATTTTCATGACAATGGAAATTTGTCCCTAAATGTTTTTTACAATAAAATTTTCACTTTTAAAGATTAAAACATTTGATTTTTAAAACTCTTATATGTTGTACCGTGAAGTGAAAAAAATTATATTTATTTATTTTGTATTTGATTTTTAAAACTCTTATATGTTGTACCGTGAAGTGAAAAAAATTATATTTATTTATTTTGTGGTTGAGTTAGGAAAATGAGAATGAAAATTTATTTTTATTTTTTTGGTTTAGTCATCCACAAGCTTTTTTATGACTTTTTTTTTTTTGTTTTGGAACGCCATGACAAATCCACTATCCAAAAATAATTGGCCTATTTGCATGGATGCCTTTTTTGAAAAAAAGAAAAAAAAAACTATTTTTAAAGGTATGATTGTAATACTGATTTTACTTTAATGTGGGACGATGGGACCCATTAATGATAAAACTGAAGCTAATAAGGCCCAACAGGCAAGCCGTGAGCTACTTTGGATTCTTCCATGGCCATTTACTGGGCCCATTTGTACATTGATTAATTTGGCCCACCGCATCACGAGCAGCGGCGGTGGGCCTATACATTTATTTTCCGTTGAATTGAAACTGTGTACCGATGCAATTAGTTTGCATGTGAATCTTGTATTTGTGCAAAAAAGGAAAAAAAAGAAAAAAAAAAATTTCTACTTGTATAGAAATTAATCTTAAAATTAGACACAATCTTATTATAATAGTGTAGGACTCAAAAATAAAAAATAAAAAAATAAAAATAAATAAATGATGTAACAATTATTTGATTAATGGGCCATGGCCACGATAGTCCAATGGACACTATCAATAGAGAGAAGAAAATATTACAAAAGTTAGAACCTCAATGAAAGTTTTACTCATCTCAAAATACTTTATATATATATATATATATTATAAGAATAATGTTATATACACCAATTAATATATTAATTAGTGTATCAATTGATAATGTGGCATAATTTAAGAAATTTTTAGTATTTGTAATGTGATTAATGAGTTGGGTCAATAATAATGTCATAATTAGTATTCGTATAATAGTTAGTACACTAATTTGTAGGGCTGTGTAGCGGATTGCCCGACCCGCCAGACCTGACCGGCCCGGCCCGACCACATTTTGATGGATGCGTGACACGTGGCGGGCGGATGCGGGCCCATTTTCTGAGTTTTTGCGGGTTCAGGTTTGGTGGCGGTTGATCCACCATTACACCTGTGAAACCCGCCCCGTCCGTATTGCCTCTGTTTTATTTATTTATTTATTATTTTTTTACCCTCCTTTACCTATTACCTAAAGGCTAAAGCCATTCGTCTTCTTTGATTCAAGAGATACACAACACACAGACACACTCACTCTCCTCTCTCTCTCTCTCTCTCTCCCCCGAAACCCTAACGATAAACGGCAACGACTAACGATCCCTAAAGTCGATCGGCGATCTTCTTTTCGACCGATGATCTGAGTTTTTTTTTTTTTACGCCCTTTTCTTCGACTGAAATTTTAACCCTAACCCATTCTTCGACTGAAAGAGGATCGATCGTTGTGGTGGTGGTGAGATCTTCTTTCCTCTTTTTCTTCTTATTCTTCTTCTTCTATTCTTCTCCTCAATCTCTAATCTTATTTATTTTATTTTTTTGGGTTCCATTCCAGTTCTTCAACTGAAACCTTGATTTGTTTTTCAATTTTTTTTTCCTGCTCTTGTTTTGTAATTTGATATTCGATAATCTTCTTTCCTCTTCTTCTATTCTTTTCCTCAATCTCTAATTTGATTTTTTTTTTGGTTCCGGTTCTTTGACTAAAAGCTTAATCTATTTTTCAATTTTTTTTTCCTGCTCTTGTTTTGTTGATATTCGATAATCTGTCTAACCAAAAATCTATTTTTTGTTTTGTTGCAATTTGTTGCAGTTCTAATGCTGCCATTGATGTAATCTTGAACTGGGTTTGGGTTTTCCTCTCTCTCTCTCTCTCTCTCTCTCTCTTCTTGTCTATTAGCTTCAGCTTCATATGAAAGTTGCTGTTTGATTTGAGGTAATGTAATGCCACTGAGAAACTTTTGATTTTTTTTTTAATATAAAGATTTGTGTAAATCAGTTGCTACTATCTTGAATTTGAGGTAATGTAATGTAATGCCACTGTCTTGAGTTTGTTTGCTTATAAAGAAATTCTAACAATTATTTAGCACAACCCATTTGTTACAAAGTGTTTTATTGATTCTGTTATAGTGGGAAAGTGATTCATGTTACTTCCATAGAGACATTCAACCCTATTTTCTAGTTTGTTTGCTTAGTTCTATAACTCTGATAATAATTTGTTTGGTTGATTCTATTTGGGTTTTGTATTTTTGGGACTTGTGTTGAATGCTTTGGAGTAACAAAATGATTTTTTTGTCATCTCTTGGTGTTTATGAATTCATATATGATTTTTTTGTCATCTCTTGTATTTCTGGGAATTGATTTAGTTGTTCATATATGTATTTGTTCATGTAGTTGTTTTGGGAATTCTGGGAATTGATTTAGTTGTTCATGTATTTTGCTAAGCATATTTGGTAATCATAAGGAAAAACCATTATGGGATTTGTTCATCTTGTTTGAAATCATAAGGAAAAACAGACCATGGATTTAAAAAGCATATTTTGAATATTTTTTTATTTGTTTTTGGCAGTATATTTGATAATCTTTTGGTCATGGATCCTTCAAGCGAAGAAATATGTTTTGTGACTCCTAACGTTGAGCCCGAATCATCTTCTGTTGACCCCTCTACCCAACCTAATATTGCTCCCCCTCCTAGAGCACCCCTGGCCAAAACTAGTAGTAGTGGGAGAACAACATCAAAGGCTTGGGATCATTTTGAAAAGATTAAGGGTATTGATGGGAAAGATAGGGCTATGTGCAAGTATTGTAAGAAAGAATATATGACAGGATGTAAGACTTATGAAACAAGTAATTTGTTAAGTCATTTAAAAAATTGTACAAAGTATCCATATAGGATACTCATGGGCAACAAACATTGGGGTTTCAACCTAGAGAAGTTGGTGGGGAGGGTGTTGTTGATGTTGTGGCTACGCCATTTTCTATCGAAGTTGCTAAGAGATATCTTGCCGAGATGATAGTAATTGATGAATTGCCCTTTAGATTTGTTGAGAGGATTGGTTTTAAGAGGTTTTGTAATGTCATGCAATCCAAGTTTAAGATCCCATCTCGATATACCATTGCTAGAGACATTGTAGACATATACACCAATGAAAGGGAGAAGTTGAAGAAAATTATAAAGGGGCGTAGAATTTGCTTTACCACAGACACATAGACTTCTATACAAAATTTGTGTTATATGTGTCTAACTGGACATTCATCGATGATGATTGGAGGTTACAAAAGAGGATCATAAATTTTTGTCAAGTTGAAGACCACAAAGGAGAAACTCTTAGTAAAAAAATTGAGGCACTTTTAAAAGAGTGGGACATTGATGGCCTTTTTACCTTAACTATTGATAATGCGAGTTCCAATAATCTAACCATTAGATTCTTGAAACGAACCACAAAACTATGGAAGGGAATAGTCTTGGGCCATGAATTTTTATATATGCGTTGTTGTGCACATATTCTAAATCTCATTGTTAATGATGGATTGAAGGATCTTGAGTCTTGTATAGCGAATGTGAGGCATGCAGTGAGGTATGTGAGGTCTTCTCCAAACCGCCTTGACTTTTTTAAAAAGTATGTAAAAATTTTGAAAATTGAGAGTAAGAGTCTCTTGTGCCTAGATGTGCCAACACGGTAGAATTGCACATATCTTATGTTGGAGGCGGCGGAAAAATTTAAGAGTTCTTTTCAAAGAATGGGTGAGAAGGACTACAATTATAAACACTACTTTTTGGATAATGAAGGGGGTGAGAGGAGAGATGCCTACAGCCGAGGATTGTGATAATTGTAGGGTATTTTTGAAATTTCTTAGAATGTTTTACAATGCAACAAAAAGATTTTCTGGGTCTTTGTTTGTTATTTCAAATACATTCTACACTGAAATTTTTGTCATTGAAAATATGATTGGACAATTAATCAAAGACAATGATCCTATTTTGTCTTCAATGGCAAAGAAAATGAAAGAGAGGTTTGACAAGTATTGGGGAAATGGGGATAAAATCAATCTCCTTTTATATGTTGCGGTTGTGCTTGATCCTCGAAGAAAAATGACATACTTGCAATTTTGTTTTTCAACAATTTTTGGTGGAGATGTGGTGAAAGTGGAAGAAATGTTAGATAAGGTGTAAAATTGTTTGAGTGAATTGTATGACCATTATGCCACGCTTGATTCAACAAATGTGCATGCCTCAAATGTAAATAAAATAGTAGATATGGTGATAGATGAAAATGACCCACACTCTATTGTGAACTCTCAATTTAACTCATTTTTGAAGGGGCAATTTTCTAGTGGTAGGAGTATGTCGGAATTGGACAAGCACTTGGGTGATATTGAGAAAGGTGGGAAGAATGCTCAATTTGACATCTTGGAGTGGTGGAAGGTTAATGCAACAAAATATAGAGTATTGTCACTTATAGCACGAGATGTGATGGCAAAGCCTGTTTCCACTGTTGCTTCTGAGTCGGCTTTTAGTGTAGGAGGTCGTATACTTGATCCATTTCGTAGTTCACTTACTCCTAAGATGGTGGAGGTTCTTGTTTGTATACAAAATTGGCTTCGAAGTAACATTCCAATATACCTTCGACAATTAGTGGAAGATGTTGGAGAATTTGAACGACAATATGATTCGAGTAATATATCTATTTCATTTATTTTGTTTTTTGAAAATTCATTATCTTCACTTTACATGTTTTTGTTGTGTTATGTTTTGTGTATAGTTGTTTCGGAATCAAGTTCATGTTCAAGCCCAAGTCCGGCGAGTAATTTTATTGAGGTTTAATATCATTAGTAAAATACTACCCCTTTGTTAAATGTTGTTAACATATATTTACTTGTTTTAAGTTTAAGAGTTTTTAGTGTTTTCCTTATTAAATAATTTTATTTTTTTTGTTATGCAGGTTTAGATGGCTCTTGGTTTGGTGAAAGGAAAAGAATGGTTTTTTTTTGCTTCTTTTTGGATGAATGTAACTTTTTTTTTTTGGATGCACAATGTTGGATGACTGTAATTTTTTTTTTATTGCACAATGTTTGTTGGATGACTGTAACTTTATTGTTTTTGGAACTCTTGGATGACTGTCACTTGGATGGACAATGTTTTCCTTATGTTTTATGTGGAAGTTAGATGATTTATGCCCATTGGAATGAATGAATACTATTTTCCCAGGTTGAACTGCCCAGCTTGTTTCATAGATGTGAACGAACCAATATTTTGAATTATGCCCATTGCAATGAATGAATATTATTTTGCATTGCCCAAGTTGCATTGCCCAGGTTATTTCATAGATGTAAATGAATAAATATTGCATTATCTAGGGGTTTTTTTTTTTTTGTATGTTGAAAATTTGTAAAATTTCAAACTGCCAAACCGATTCATATCTATCCGTTAATCCGCCCAATCCGCATCCGCCGGATTGGCGGACAGATGCGGATTGGTTTTTTTCAATCCGCCAATTTGGCGAACGAATGGCGGATTGGAGGTTTCGTGGCCGCAACCGATCCGCACCCATCCCTACTAATTGGTGCATGTAGCACCACCGATATTATAAATGTGAAATTTTATGGTAAACACCCGGCACATATGGATCTTTGATTATGAATTTTACAGTTTTTGGTTATATTTTATTGTGGTGTTATTTATGATTAGGGTTTTATAAAATATTGTTCAATTCTCTAAAATCGGATCGATCATTATCAATTTGTACCATTCTATCCGCTAACTGCAGTATAAACTTTAAAATTTATAATTTGCTTTCGAAATCGTTCCGTTTTGCTATAGTTAATACAAGTGTATGCTTGTACCTGAAGGTACAGTGTGAATAAAAATAAGTGAAAGAAAAAAAAAACAAATAAAGAGAAATAAAAATGGGAGAAAATAAAAAAAATAAAAATAAAAGAGAGAAGAAGGTGGTGGGATCATGGGATCATGGAAAGATGAGTAAGAAAATGAAGAAGTAAGAGACAGAAACGGGAAAACAAAAAATGTATATATAGGACATTTTTTGAAAAATATATTTAAGTCATTATTTTATAATTTGAACAGATCTGAGCCATCTAAATGTCCTAGTAGAAAAAAAAAATATGTTGAATATTCAAAAATCGTCCTACTTTATTATATAGATGTTGAAGATTCATATGAGATCTAAATTTATGAAGTCTGTCAAGTATTCAATATATTTAAAAATAATAATTGATGGTTCAAATTTATTTAATTTGTGAATTATAAAATTCATTAATTTAATATCCACAATACATAGTAAAATCTGGCTCCTAATTCTGGAATCACAAACTTTTCCAAATAATATGAATAAAAATAAGTGAACAAAAAGGAGAAAATAAAAAAAATAAACAAATTGAGAGAAAAATAAAAACGGGAGAAAATGAAAAAAAAGAGAAAAAAAAAAGGAGAGGTGGAATCATGGGATTATGGAATAATGGGTGAGTAAATGAAAAAGTAAGAAAGAGAAGCGAGAAAGTAGATAATATACATGTATAATATTTTTTGAAAAATATATTTCAGTCATTATTTTATAATTTAAATAGATCTGAGTTATCCAAATGTCCTAGTAGGATAAAAATATGTTGAGGATTCGAAAACCAATCATGCTTGATTATATAAATATATATATTAACCTATAATGAAAGATCAAAATAAAAATTAGTATGAGTGATTTAATGTGTGAAATTTATTACAAATTAGTGAAATTTATTATATAAATATTATGTAAAATTAATTTGAGTTATATATATGAAAAATATTATGCAAATTGGTGTTATATATTATGTAAAGGTTTGATAATTGATTAGAATATTTTTCAATTCGTCAATCCATTCAAAATAGCTTAAACCGCAATTTGTTAATTCGCTAATCCGCTATTTGATATATAATTTTATTTTCAAATCATCCGAACCACACCTTGCATACTCTTAGTTATGACTTATGATTCAAGAGTTGTTTAATTATACCTTAATGTTGTGTTTGGTTGTGGAATTTGGAGAGGGATTTGGAAATGAAAAGAAAAAAAGTTTGTGAAACTATAAGTATATTTTAGGGAGCTTTTTTGATAAATTCACTTTCTAAGAGTTTTATTCCATCCAACCCATATTCTTTTTTACTATTCCATTAGGTCCTATTTGAGATAAGAAGACCAAAATATTATTTTCATCTACTTATGTTCCATTTAGTTCACATTATTTTCTTATGTTTCAATAAGTCCTATGGGTGACATAATTAACAAAATACCCCTAATGTGAATGTTCACACCGTCAATGTGAATGTTCATATCGTCAATGTGTAGCAGCCCGGCCTATGTCGATCCTCGTGGGTGCCTAGAAAAATTCGAGTCCGGCCGGGATGGGCCCAGCCTATTGACAATGTGAATATTCACATTGGCATGTTAACATCCACATTAATAGGAGTGTAAAATTGGCCCGCGTTCCGTGGCGGCACGAAACCCACCCGCGGCCCATGGGCGGCCCGGGGCGAGCCCGGTCCGGTCCGTTGACAATGTGAATATTCACATTGACATGTTAACATTCACATTGATCAGAGTATAAAATTGACCCGGGGTCCATGGGCGGCCAAAAGTCCGCCCACGGCCCGGGGCGGGCCCGACTCGGTCCATTGACAATGTGAATATTCACATTGACATGTTAACATTCACGTTGATAGGAGTGTAAAATTAACCCGCGCCTCGTGGCTGCACAAAACCCACCCACGGCCCGTGGGTAGCCTGGGACAGGCCCGGCCCGGCCTGCTGGCAATGTGAATATTCACATTGACATGTTAACATTCACATTGATAAGAGTATAAAATTGGCCAGCGGTGTAGGACGGGCCCGGCCTGGCCCGTTGATAATGTGAATATTCACATTGACATGTTAACATTCACATTGATAAGAGTGTAAAATTAGCCCGCGCCTCGTGGTTGCCCGAAACCCGCGCCACGGCCCGTGGGCTGGGCAGGGCGGGGCGGGCCTGGCTATTTTTTTTTAAATTTCTTCTACCAAAATTTTATTATTTTCCACAAAAAAAGACATTAGGCCTTGGCGTGGGTCAGGCCTCGGATCGAGCCTTGAATGGGCCTTAACCGGGCTGGGCTTTAAAGTGATGGCCCAGGCCCTAACCTAGGGTCTCGGACTAGGCTCGAGCCTGGTCCCAAACGAGCCTTTCTCGGGCCGGGTCGGGCTGGCCCACAGGCCAAAAAATTAGGCCCAGGTCCTAGCCCTAGCACAAGGGTATTCGGGCTTTGGACGGGCCGATGGATCGAGCCTCGGGTCGGGCATGTGGGCCTGGGCCTAGCCTCGAGCTTAGGTCAGGCTTGGGCGGGCCTGGCCATTTTTTTTTAATTCTTTTTAATTTTTTCTACCAAAATTTTATTATTTTCCACAAAAAATACATTGCGCCTTGGGCGGGCTGGGCCTTAGACCGAACCTTGAATGGGCCTTAAGCGGGCCGATGGGCTGGGCTGGGCTTCAAAGTGATGACCTAGGCCCTAACCTAGAGTCTCGGACATGCTCAGGCCCGGACCGAAACGAGCCTGCCCCGGGCCGTGGGCAGGCTTCGGGCAGCCCACGGGCTGCGGGCCAATTCTACATTACTATCAATGTGCATTTTAACATGTCAATGCGAATATTTACATTGTCAATGGACCGGGCCGGGCCTACCCTGAGCCGCGGGCAAGCTTCGGGCAGCGAGCAAATTACACTCCTAGCAATGTTAATGTTAACATGTCAATGTGAATATTCACATTGTCACGGGTCGAGCCAAGCCTGCCTCGGGCTGCGGTTAGGCTTCGGGCAGCTCACGGGCTGCGGGCCAATTTTACACTCTTATCAATGTGAATGTTAACATGTCAATGTGAATATTCACATTATTAACGGGTCGGGCCGGGACCGTCTTGGGCTGCTGGCCAATTTTATACTCTTATCAATGTGAATGTTAACATGTTAATGTGAATATTCACATTGTCAACAGGCCGGGCCGGGCTCGCCCCAGGCCACCCATGGGCAGTGGGCGGGTTTCGGGCAGCCAAGAGGCGCGGGCTAATTTTACACTCCTATCAATGCGAATGTTAACATGTCAATGTGAATATTCACATTGTCAACGGACCGGGCCGGGCCCGCCCCGGGCGGCAAGCGGGCTTTTGGTCGCCCATGGACCACGGGTCAATTCTATACTCTTATCAATGTGAATGTTAACATGTCAATGTGAATATTCACATTGTCAACAGGCCGGGCCGAGCCCAGCCGGGCCCGCCCATGGGCGGGTTTCAGGCAGCTACGAGGCGCGGGCTAATTTTACACTCCTATCAATGTGAATGTTAACATGTCAATGTGAATATTTACATTGTCAACGGGCCGGGTCGGGCTCGCCCTAGGCCGTTGGCCAATTTTATACTCCTATCAATGTGAATGTTAACATGTCAATGTGAATATTCACATTGTCAACGGGTCGGGTCGGGCCCGCCCTGGGCCGCTGGCCAATTTTATACTCTTATCAATGTTAATGTTAATATGTCAATGTGAATATTCACATTATCAACGGGCCGAGTCGGGCCCGCCTTGGGCCGCTGACCAATTTTATACTCCTATCGATGTGAATGTTAACATGTTAATGTGAATATTCACATTGTCAACGGGCCGGGTCGGGCCCGCCCTGGCCGCTGGCTAATTTTATACTCTTATCAATGTGAATGTTAACATGTCAATGTGAATATTCACATTGTCAACAGGCCGGGCCGGGCCTGCCCCGGGCCGGCCATGGGCGGGTTTCGGGCAGCCACGAGGCGCGGGCTAATTTTACACTCCTATTAATGTGAATGTTAACATGTCAATGTGTATATTCATATTGTCAACGGGCCGGGCCGGGCCCGCCCTAGGCAACGGGCAGGTTTTTGCCGCCCAGA